ATGTAATCCATACCAAAGGCTGTGCTCTTTGATCTTCATCAGTAAATATTTTAAGCCCTCTTCACTTTCAGCAAGCAAGGTTGTATCATCTACATATCATAGGTTGTTAATGAGTCTTCCTCCAATCCTGAAGCCACTTTTTTCTTTATGGAGCCCAGCTTCTCAGATTATTTACTCAGTAAACAGGTTGAATAAGTATGTTGAAAGAATACAACCTTGACACTCACCTGTAAACATTCAGTGTTCCAATGCTCTGTTTGAACAACTGCTTCTTGGTCCAGGTAAAGATTCCTCATGAGCACCATGAAGTGTTCTGGAATACTCATAAATCACAATGCTGTCCATAGCTTGTCATGATCCACACAATCGAAAGCCTTCGCGTAGTCAGTAAAGAACACGTAAACATTTTTCTGATAGTCTCTGCTTTCAGCCAAGATCCATCGGACATCAGCAATGATATCCCTTGTACCTCGTCCTCTTCTGAATCTGGCTTGAACCTCTGGGAAGTTCTCTGTAAATGTATGATTGTAGCCATTTCTATAATACCTTTAGCAAACCTTTACTCCCATGAGATATCAAAGAGATTGTCCAATGATTTCTGCATTTTGTTTGGTTACCTCTCTTTAGAATGAGCACAAATATGGATCACTTCCAACCAGTCTTCCAAATTTCTTGGTAGACATGAGTGAATGTCTCCTGTGCCGCCTCATTTTCTTGAAATGTTTCCACTTTTTATTCCATCAATTCCTAGTGTCTTGTTCTTTGCCAATTCCTTCAATGCACCTTGGACTTCCTCCTTAACTATCATTGGCTCTTGATCATATGCTACCTCTTGAAATGGTTGAACATTAACCATTTCCTTTTGGTAGAGTGACTCTGTGTATTCCTCCAATCTTCTCTCTCTCTCTTTTTTAATGTTTTATTGTGAATTATATGATAGCTTACATGGGAGAACTTTAGTTTTACATTCATTCCATCGTATATCATCTCACTGCCATGGT